ACCGAAATTGAGCGACGATTTGGCGATCTAGTGGTGTTTTTCTTTTGATTGCGAAAGTTGGCTTGTTTTGTTTTGTTTGCGCCTTTGTTATCCAAGTGTGCAGTATGCATATGAATGAAGTTCAGTTGAAGTGTAAATCATGAAGGTTGACTACTACTTGGTGCAACTTTCTGCATGCGGAAGTCATACAAATAGTGACATTACTAAAAGCTAGACGTGTCTCGACTGCTTAATATACTGTATACTATTTACTATAGTATAATGGATTAATTGTAAAAAGAAGCAAAGAAACGGACATGTTCATTTTTGAAATCGTGACATTTTTAATTGTTTTCATTAACTTCGATAAGAATGATTGTTACATTTTTTTAAAATTAGATCTCGCGTCGTCTTTAAGCTTCTGCATTCAAGTATTATCCAGAATTTCTAGGAATAAGAAGCAGTTTTTTAAATTTACAAATACCTTAACGACTGTCAATTTATTATACATTCCTGGACGTTTCAAATAGGCTCAAATCGAACTTTTTTACTCGCTCATCATCTGTTCAGTTTTATAGCAAGGGTTGCAGACGTTCTGTTCCTATTTGATTTCTTAGTGGCTACAGCGTGTATTATCATGTAATATAAAGACTAACAATATAAAATCATGCACTCGTAACAAAACATCGCTGTGCTATGATTTGTAGCAATATCGTATATGTAAAATTATTTTAGAATATGTAAGGAAAATATATTATATCTGTAGTTCCTTATATCTTCGTGAACTTCTTTCCTCCGTTAAAGAATGACTAACCAATAATTACAGCGATTATTCGCAATGTTTTCATTACTTTACGAAACCAATCATTTTATCACTGTACTCAGATCAGGTACTTCTTCAGCATCATTTCCAATGAATTACTTGTTGCTTACCCGTGTCTCATAAACAATTGAAGGGCTTGCGGCAGTAACAAGATAAACTGCGCCAGCCACAGCAAGCCTCCTGATGTTTGTAAATGTTAATATCACGATTTTGGTCGAAGTATAATTCATGTTAGTACTGCCCCATGTCCTTCATAAATTTAATCACGACAGAGATAGTACCCAGATAATACACTTTTTCACCAAAATCGAGATATTAACATTTACGAAGAGCGGGGAGGTTGCTGTGGCCGGTGTGGCTTATCTTGTTACTGGCCAAGCTCTTCAATTCTACACAGGAATTTAAAAAATGCATATGACATAAAATCGAAGGAAATTAATATAAAAAAAACATGACAAAGTAACTTATTGGTGGTTTATGGTTTGTTAAGATTTTTGATAAATCTCTCTGATTTCGCTTCAGTTGTTTAGGTTTTTCAAAAATGTGCGCGGTACTTCGCACAACGCTGTCTTTCTGCATTAGTCAAGAGTGCAATCGGACATGTACCCATCGTATATTGTATTCAATAATAATTAAATTCTTCTAGAAAAGCCGCGAATTTTTGTTATATATGGCTCTATTAAACCGCTAAGAAAATTGTACAGATTGCTGTTTTTTGGTGTTCGATGGATGCTCCAAATCGTGATTCGTCGTCTGCGGGTTTCGACAAATGACACTCGGGTAGAGTTGCGCGGGAGTTCAAGGGAGCGCTTTTGTAAACATCTCTTTCAGTCATTCAAACGGTCTCCAAACGGCACTTTTAACGAGAGGTAATGTTTAAATACAAAATTACCTCACATAAGTTCATCTGCAACGTTAAACAAGGTTTGCCAACGGAAATTGCCACTGATCCAACCTTTTCCTTTCGCTGTATTATATTGCATTGCCAAACCTTTATTATAAATCTACTACAATAGGAGTCTCATATTTAAAACTAGGAGAAAGAGATCATCATGTCGAAGGAATAGTTTTTAACAAAATTTCTAGTTCTCTTTTGGAGGGCTGGCAAAAATTGCTTCCAGTGCTTTTGGGATCTCACACTTCAAGTTTAAGAACGGAAATTTCATGTCTCGCTTTACTTTTTGTCAGCTATGGAGAGGCTAGAAACTGTTCTCCATGCCTTTTTGTAAGTTAATTTCATATTAAGTAAATTGTCAACAACCACAGGGAATATGATGAAAAATATCATAATTATAACAACAAACAAATTTCAATTTATTTTAAGATCTTGAGTTCAAAGCATTTTGAAACCTGTTAGATTGTTAGTTGTGGAAATGTTAAACTATCTAAACTATAGATTAAGATTATTTATAAGTAGTGACATTTACATGAAATTCTTGATTTTTTTACGAGTGGAATACAGTTAATGAAGAGGGACTTTAGTTGAAATGTTAGTGGATATATGTTTGTCAACCACAATATATTTGATCACAATTCTTTAAGAGTTTCTTGAAATATTTCCATCTATCCACATTTTCGTTCTTTTAACAATTTGTTTTTATTGATAATTTATAATGGTACAATTTACATTGAATTAACTCACTGGTCTGATGGATAGATAATTAAAAACGATTGATATGTGAGAAAATTATGAGAAAGAATAATGACAGTTAAATCAATCATTTACTGAATCTCATTTATCTTTAAAGAATTATTTCGTTGAATGTGTTTCTTTTCTTAAGTTGATGTAATAAGTTAACCATTTATTTTTAAATGTTTTCTGAAGGACGTTAATTATATCTGTGAAATGTCTTCTTTGTACTTCTACACTGCACTACTTTCTATTTCTTTAATATGTACATTCTGAGTATTACTAGTACTCAATTCAATGTCAATGTAATAAGCAGATCTCTTTTAGTTTAACTTAAATTTATCCACATATTTTTAAATAATCACTATAGATTAATTTTCACTGAAGTATTATTTTTTTTTTTTCCTTTCCAGAAACTGAAGTATCCGAAGTCCGTATTTTTCATAATCGTCAATGAATTATGCGAAAGATTTTCTTACTATGGAATGCGAAGTAAGTAAAAGCATACAATTAAATTCTATTCCTGTTGGTGTATTCAGAATTCAGTGATTGTTGGTGCACTGGCCACTGAAAGTTAGTAACTATTGTAGATTAATGTGCAGAGCACAAATGGTACATGGTTACTACTTACAGGCTGTAATAGATTTAACATTATAACATTTGCTATTTAATTTGAAAGCATTTGTTAAAATTGAATTAAACAGTTATAATTAAGAATTGTAACTCTTAAAAAAATCATACCTAATAATAATTATTACAAAGTTTGCACAAATTATTTTATGAACTATACATATGTATGTTCCAGCAATTCTGGTGCTGTACCTGACATCTATATTGACATACAGTGAAGATGATGCAACAGTTATTTATCATATATTTGCTATGTTCTGTTACTTTTTCCCTGTCCTTGGATCCATGATTGCTGACAGTTGGTTGGGAAAATTCAAGTAAGCCTGTGTGTCTTTTTTCATTAGTCATAGTAAAATATTTCAATTGCCAAGACAATAAAATTGTGAAGGGTCTCTAATAGTAAAAGATTTTGCTGAATACTAAGAGTATGCCATGATGTTCTTAGTTATTGACTTTGTGAATTGACATTTTGTATATATGTAATGGGTGTGTTTATATATAATATTTGGTTATATATTTTACTAAAGCTATAGTATTCAGTACTTCATGATTTCAGATATGACTAGCTATTTCTTTATTCATAACCAGACATATTATCTTTTGGAAGAATTTCCTTCTCCATGAGAATGGCTTTGAAATTGTTGTGTTACATATGTGAGTTTTGGGGATCTAGATTTACTTTCAATAACCCAGTATTTCATTTTTATATTAAGCCCTGTATGTTAACTCCAAATAATTTTTAATGTAAAGTAATTTAAATCATTTTGTGTTTGCATCTAATCTGAAAGATCTACTCCTTATTTTATTCTTGTTCATTGGAGTTCACTCAAGGACTCTTTTTGTATCCTTTGATCTTGAGGTTGGGGAGACCGTATCTAATCCATTAATACCGTATTTAATCCAACATAATTAACTTGCTTCTCTGGGGAGTCTTTTGTATTTATGATATTGAAAGTGTCTATAATTGCTCAAAAAAATAATTAAATCATTCAATGCCATAATTCATTTTTAAAAAATTATCTTTTTGTCACCAGTTTTAAAAAGGAGGATTTATTTTCATGCCATTTGAGGAGGACAAAATTATCAACTACAACTGAAATGTTGACATCAGCAAATATGCAAAATAACTTTTATCTTAAGAATAACACTGTTCTCACACATTTGTTTTGAATAATCGTCTGGATGCATGTTTCAACTTGATTTTCATCATGACCTGATCTTTTTAAAAAAATGAAATAACAAAGAAAGCTTATTTTTGTTATTTCATTTGGTTATATTGACTGAAAAAAAGTCTGTGTAAGAATGTACATTGAGGACTTTTATTAATAATTAAATTACAGACTTAAATTAAATCTGTTTTTTCCTTTTCTTTCTTTTGAAGCTAAAATTTGGTTGAAGTGAAAGTTTTGGCCATCAATTATTAATTGTGTGAAGAACAATTAAATTAATTTAATGATGCTCAATGAATCTAGAACATTTTTAATATTACTACTTGTACTCTTTTCACTTGAAATAATATTAGGTGAAAAAATGAAAATTTTATCAACCTATAAGTGTTTTTTTTCACTAATACTCATTTGTTTCTGTGTTTAGAACAATATTCTTCCTGTCAATCGTGTATGCTATTGGAAATATTATTATATCTCTGGCATCTGCGAGTTCCACCATTGATATACCTGGAAGGTAATTAAAAAGTATTTATAACCAACATTTTAAATTATTGGAACAATTATTTATAAAATAAATATTTAATTAATATCATATACTGTGATTGTATAATTCCACTAAATAGTTTGTTTAGCCTCTTCTACGTATCATAGCCCTTTAGCATGTGATTAAGAAATTTCCCAAAGACTAGACAAATGCATGTCTTCTTTATGCAAATGAGGCTCTAACAAACTTGGGACTTCTTCTTAATGTGGTTATTCAAAATGTTTTCTGTTGCTGATTCAAACATCTATTCACCCTCAAATTAGAATTAGAAAAGACATATGGGTCTTGGACATTAGATTTAAAGGAATCACAATTTCATGATAGTTTAAGAGAGGAAAAGTATATGAATTTAATTTTGAATTACTTGTATTGAAACATATTTATATGATCAATTAATTTAGTATTAATATTTAACCAATCTTCTGCAAATTTTAAAATATGAAATAATTATTTTTTCCTTCAAATAAGAAACGATTTGTTTCATGGCCAGATGGAACCTTCTTTAAAGCCCTTAAATTGATACCTGAAAATTATAAAATATATTGGATCTTTTCGCTGCATCCTTGATTTTCTGGAACTTCCATCTGTCCCTCTCTCCATGAAAGATCAATCTCATGTGTGTTCTCACACCCATTTATCAGATGGAGTTAGATAGAAATTTTATTCTACAAATGGGCATGTCTTTCCTGATGGCAGGATACATAAATATAAATTAAATAATTAACAAATAAGAATTGCACTGAATTTAAAATAAATATCCTTCATCCCTTATCTAAAATAACTTCAAAAGTGAATAAATCTTGTTCGTATACAGTAAATTACTTCTAACGTAATGTGTAGTCACACATGTTTTGAGGGTCCTTAATATTGAAACTAGTGGTGTAACATCACATTATTTCACATTTATTTTAACTTTTGCAAATTTCAAAATTTCAGATTTGAAAGAAAGAGGAACTTGCACCGTATATTTAGAAGTCCTTTTCTCTATCGACAGAAAAATTTAAAAAATAAATTTGGAACAGTTTTTGAGAAAATATACTTTTTTTATAATATGTTTTATTTTTAGCAGAAATTACATGAAAACTATTTGTTTTCTCGGAAATATGAATATGAATTTGTTTAAAGATATGGTTTTTGAGGCAAAAAATATTCTTTTTAGTGTTATGATTTTGAAATGTAAATTTTTTTGCAATTTTTGAAAAAACAGAAAGTTAACCGAAAATGGGACCAGCACCATTTTTACTGACATTGAACTTTTGTAATTTTTGTAAATCAATGATATCAACGAAAATAAGATATGCCATAGAAAATAAGATATATTTCATTAAGTGTTGTTTACCCTATCCAAGGACCAAGATCAATCAAAAGGTTTGAAGTCACACTCTATGCATTGAGCAGACTCATGTTGTTTCATATTATTCACGGAGTCTGAAGGCCGGATGCTCAAGTGAACATGGTGCAGGTCAACTGGGCCATATTATAGTAGGTTTTAAGACAGTATTTCATTCGTGGTAGTTCATTATCATTCTAATTTTTTTTAAATTGTTGTGTCTTAACGTAATCTATTAATTCGACGTGACGTGTCTCTTGGCCCGGGGTCGAGGATTGACCATATTCCCACAGAAGTGAGCCCATCCTCGCCTTTATTTCGTTGCCTCCCTCTGGTCAATTTCCGTTTAGATATAGTGTCAGAAAGTATTGGTGGGAAATGTGCAAACGTGTTCCACCATCAAACCTTCCCTAACAGAAAGCCCTAGTATTAATGATAAATGAATTAGCAAATGAGAGTGTGGGTGAGTGAACGATTGGGTGAACGATTGGGTGAACGATTGGGTGAACGATTGGGTGAACGATTGGGTGAACCGATTGGGTGAACCGATTGGGTGAACCGATTGGGTGAACCGATTGGGTGAACCGATTGGGTGATTGTGACTGACTGACTGAAAAAAATTATAGAGCATAGGCATTCTGTGACCATTTAAGTACCGAAAAGTTTTGGTTGTGCACTAAAATGCAATATATCTGGCACTGACACCACTGGTCTGTAGTATACGTACACTGCTGTAAACCTCAGATGTTAATACGAAAGATCAGGTGGTTTAAAATAATCGCTGTTGAAAGAATGAAACGATCTTATCAGATAATCACTAATTCGCTAATTTTCGATGCTAACCATCTGTAGTTGAATTTCAGACTCATTGAAAGAAGAAATTCGATCTTGCTTATTATTCTCGAACATGCTAAAATACTAGTTTGATTGCTTCAATAAGCCAATTTTAGGGGCTTCAGCTCTATGAAGAGTGAGAAGAGAACACATGGGAGTGGGAAATGATTAAAAGGTAGTGATAAACACTAATGGTTGATACATCAGCATCCTGGTGGACCGAGGAATCAAAGCTGAACATTTTGTATGGACAGAAGAAAACAGATTTTCTTGAAGCTGTGTTACTACAATTATTCGATGAGTGATAACAATACCATTCCATGCATTGCCATAAAACGAATGCTTTGAGATCAACAGAAATAATAAATTTGCTAATTTTCTTTCTTGTGAACCTTTAAATTAATTCGCCGGTCAGCTAATGTGAAATGGTACTGTTTTAAATGTATTACCTTCCAGTCTCTGCTCCTATGTAATATATGCACTCATAGCTCCAGCAAGGCACACTATTTTCTTATTATTTTAATTTCTTTATATTTTTCATACAAAGTTAAATTCTCATTAGACTGACTTCTTGCCTTTGATTATATTTTATCTTTGATTTCAACTGTGTCAAGAATTCAGTTTTCTCTTTTTCCTTGCTTCCAAATATCATGACCAAATAGTTTTAACTGTCAATTAAATTACGGACGAGTTAGATTTACATGTACAAGTTAGATTTACTTGTATTCTGTTGTTCATATTTTCCTCTATTTTGATGTTTTTTGTTGCAGGACGCTTACTATAATAGGCCTACTTCTCATTGCTTTTGGCACTGGAGGAATAAAACCATGTGTCTCAGCATTTGGTGGAGATCAGTTTATACTCCCTCAACAAGAGAAGCAAATGGCCCAGTTCTTTTCCTTCTTTTATTTTGCTATAAACTCTGGAAGTTTGATATCTACGTTTCTCACACCTGTATTACGTGAAGATGTCCAATGTTTTGACCAATCCTCATGCTATCCACTGGCATTTGGCGTGCCCGCTGTACTTATGATTGTTTCAATACGTAAGTTCTTAGAATCAAAATGGAAATATAGGTCTTAAAAACATTATAATATAACTTGTTACTTTTTACCAGAAATATGTGTAATAATTAATGTAATATTTTCTTATTTGAATGTTGCAGTTGTGTTTGTTGCCGGTAAAAATCTTTATATCATTAAGAAACCTCAAGGAAATGTTGTGATGCAAGTTTCTAAATGTATGGGTGTAAGTATACAAGTGTTTGTTTATTCAAATTTGATAAAAGCAAGATAAAAATATAGTTAATTGGTCTTATAAAAAGTCATTCATTCTCTTACGAGGATGTTAGTATTTTGATACGTACACATGTCATCAAGGGCCTACAAAGGACTTTAGCAATGTGTGTGCCCATTTTTTCTTTCTCTCGACTACTGCTTTCTAATTTTTCGTAAGAAGAGAAAGTTACGTAATCGTGCGTCAGAAAAAAACCATACTGTCGCGTCGTGGTAACGAAAATGTGGATAAATCCTATTGCTAAATTTAGGAAAAAATCCTCTAACTCGATCAATGATTAGGCTGAGGGATTTATCAGTGTCACGAGGTCTCAAAGTCCAACGTTCCCACCGCTGAATAGTTTTTTGGAACTCTATTGCCTCTACCCTCCTCTAACGGCATATCAGGCTTTGTCAACGACAAGATGAAGAGCGCCGACCTTTGCGAAGTCTACGCGAAATACCTACTGGTTTTCTGGGAGTTCTTCTCTACATCTTCTTTCAATCTTGCTTATGATATGCTCGAGAACCTTATCAGTTATATCGGGCAGACACAGCGGTAGGAAAGACGACGGTACTTTGGGTATTTTTTCGTGAGAGAAGTACCAGTTGTTATTTGCTCCATTTTCAGGAAATATCACTTCTCTCAGACGCGAGTTGTAAATATTCGCAAGAATTTCGCAATGCGCTAATATCGTAGTCTTGAGGGCAATGAGGGGTATATTATCTGGTTCAGAAGTCACGGTGTTATTAATTCTGCCGAATGTATGCAGCAGCTGTTCTTTAGTGACAGGTGGTTTCGTTTCTCGCTCAGGTCGCGAAATAATTTTAGTCAGTTCGTGTGGTCATAATCTTAAAAGCATTCAAGAGCAGGTTGGATATTGTGTATGCAACATTTTAAATTTGCCCATGACTCTTGTTTAAACCTCTCCCATAATATTGGTGTACTTCGTTGCACAGACTTTCGGGGCCTTTGTGTTTGTCATCCCTGATGGTACCATCTTCTACAAAGAAGGAATACATCCCCGTGAATTACTTTGTCTTTCCATCTTTTTCCTTAGATATCAGTCCATCATTTCTTTGGTTTCTTTGACTTTGCATCCCTTATAGAATGGATTGGAGTTCGCTGTGAAAGTTGGATTCAATGACTGTCAAATAGGCTCCCGTTCTCGACAAGCTATATGATATAAACATCAAGTTCAATACTATCTGTGGTTGTGTCCTTAACTGTGCCCCTCTATGTCGGTTTGCAAGTGTCTCTATTTGTAGCTTTGTTTCTGGCTAACTGTCCTTTGCCTCTGACTGTGTCTGTCTCTGACAACCACCGCCTCCGTGACCGTCCGCCCGTTCGCCCATCCGCCCGTACGCCCATCCGCCCATCCGCCCGTTCGCCCATCCCCCGTCCGCCCATCCGCCGTCCGTCAGACCGCTCGCCCATCTGCGTACAACCCTAGTGTCTAAACTAGAGCTATCGGAGGTTCGTGTACGCCGAACTGTCTCACAGCTCGCGAGGACAATACGGCCAGTGACTGAACTCAAAACCGCTGGGGCGTTCCGTGACATTTTGCGAACGCAAAAGGAATATCTAGGAGGGTAGTTTGGAATCCGGGTCCGAAGATGTAAGGCCTCTGTGTAGTACCAAAACGAAATTTGGAATGAACGTGAAGTGAATTTTCTTTAAATGTTGATAAAGTTACTAATTTACTTTTCATTCATTTATTTATTTGTTTCCTCGAATGTAGCTAAGTACATTAAAAATGGCGTTGGTCTCATTTTAAGTTCACGAGGATGTGTAATTCTCATGACTTCCTCTGTAAATTAAAAGGTCGTGGAACACGTGGATGTGCGACTCACCTCGGAAAAGCCCAAGGAGGGGGAATTCGCAGAATTCTCCTTTCAGTCTAGTATTGCTAATATTGATAATCTGAGTGGAATCTTGCCTATTTAATTATTAACGTCCAAAAACTGTGAAAAAGTGCGAGTCATAATATGGAGAAAAGGCCAATCTGCACACGGTTCTGTGAGCTCTCGGTTCTCTGCCCTAACTCCTTACACCTCGTTAAGTTGAATTATGAAATGATAGTTTTTGGCAAAAATTGATGTGAAAATATTCTCTCCCGTATTCCGCTGGGATCGCCACTGTCTGCATATCAAAAACATAAAGTATAAAAAAAATGATTGAACAATATGATATAAATGCCGGTTTGGATGGCCGAGATCGTTACGACAGTAGTGCCGTAGCGATCTTGGACAGAAGGATCGCGGTTTGATTCCCGCCTCTGGCATGGTACTATTTGTGTTCGTCCTTTCACCCCCTGCCATCACTATATCATGTCATCTTCACAGTTACCATACCGTTAAATGCAATAGTGGTCGCTAATGACCTAGATGTTGATGCGACCATAAAAATAACAAAACAAAATTAGATAAATCTAACCATGTAATGTTCAGTAAAGTTGCCGTATTTAAAAACAACAGTACATTATTACATTCGGTGTTTTCTTTTCCAGCATGCTATAGGACAAAAAATTAAATCCAAAGGACCAAAAAGGGATCATTGGCTGGATTATGCCGATGATCAATATGAGAAAAAGGAGATTGAGGACATTAAATCAGCTTTGAGAGTACTGTATCTCTATTTGCCATTGCCGTTCTTCTGGGCTCTGTTTGATCAGCAGGTTTGAATTTCAATGTGTGTGCTTAAATTGGATGTGTCCTACTCTCTATGGTATTTTCTGGTAACCTTCTTTACTAATGGCAGGGCTCTCGATGGACTTTCCAAGCAACGATGATGACTGGTGCTCTCGGAAGTTGGTCTCTGAAACCTGACCAAATGCAAGTGGTTAATCCACTTCTAATTCTTATATTCATACCCATATTTGAGTCCATCATTTATCCCTTACTGAAGAAATGCAATCTCCTTACTAAACCACTTCAGAGATTGGGTGTTGGAGGAGTACTAGCTGCAATAGCATTTGGAATTTCCGCCATTGTTGAGCTACAATTAGAGGTAAGTGCTCTTATATTGATAAGCATTATATTAATGATATATATATATATATATATATATATATATATAAATTCTGTAATGATAATAATAATAATAATAATAATAATAATAATAATAATAATAATAGTAATTGTATATTAGTCTAAAGTAAGAGCTCTTGTGTTTGGAATCTGTCGAATGTTCACATTATAATTAAAACAATTTTATGTGCACGTGCATGAATATGAACTATGATCAGAGAAAATTTTAAAACTGTGACGTTTATTTAAAAAAGGAAAATTGGGACCAATTTAATATCCTACGTTCTCAGCAACTATTTATTCTTGAATAGCAAGTATTCTGACTGATTCTGCTGTGCCAGGTGACGGTTTTTTTTTCGCGAGGGTCAAAATCGACCAAAACGGAACTTTTAAATGGACGGTTTGAGTAGCCGGTATTTCCATTGTAAACAGTATTTTAGGTAATAAGACGATAAATTTTATTGAGAAAAAATTGCAATATGCTTTTGAACATTAAACATAAAATCTCAATACAGAGTATCTCCTAAGTATGTCAACGGATTTTTCCCTGCTATAACGAAAGAGGTATACTGAACGGAATTGCATAAATGAGCATTCTTCGGAAGGGCAAGACCACAAGGTGTGTGAAATATTCATTAATGTATCGATTTGTTGCCCACTTAACAAAATCATGTCTTATAATATTTTTTTTTCTGAATTTCAAGCAAAACTCGTAAACGGTGCGACTTAGGGTTAGAAGTGCCTGGTAAAAAGGTTTAAGTTGTATTCTACAAAATTAGATTTTACGGACCCGTTTCTTACGTTATTATGGATTCGTCTCTCTGAGAAATTTATAGAGAAGCCTGTGTTAAGTCTGTGGGTCTGACCACTTTTTGTGTGTGTGTGTGTGTGTGTGTGTGCCTGTGTAATTGTCGCTCTACAGTGTATTTAGCTTAATTCGCAACCGATGTCAGAGAGCACTTCTTCTTGTTTGGCAATTTGGCAACCGCTCGTTTTTGTCACCATTCAAGACAGCCGTGCCTCGTACGTCGAGACAGCAGAGAAGGCGACTTTCTTGTTTCTCTGTTCTTCCTAATCAAGAGCATAGGCGGACATGTACGCGGCTCACACGCCGAAAGATTTCGCGCTGCACAGAGTGGGTGGGGTGAGCAGAGACATGAACAAGAAACATAACGTCCCTTTTGGTGATTCTGTCCAGTATGCTTGAGAAACAAAGTTGTAATACTGAAGATGTTACTTAGGAGGGAAGTTATGACTGTTTATCAATTTTTTAACACCAACGTACCAATAATTATTACTTAATGAAAGTCTGCTCAGAGAGAATCAGAAAGATATCTCGTGAAACATTACCGCCAAGCTCTTCATTATTTATAACATTATTATTATTATTATTATTATTATTATTATTATTATTATTATTATTATTATTAAGCAAATAAGAAAGCCTTAATAAAATTATTAAAATACCAATAAAACATAAGTCAGTAGTAAATTCATAATTATTGAAAATAATGATTTCTAATTTCTAATTTCTAATTATAAAAAAATAATTTCCTTAAAATTACAAAAAAACTGAGCGTTGAGTAAATTCCCAACAGTGGTCACCATTTGCCAAGAGGGACGCGTTTTCTCTTTTCAGTATAATGCCTGCAGTACGTTGAAGACTAACAAGGACAGAATAAATGTTTTCTCTTTTTTCCAAATAAAATTAGCCACATTCTCTCGCTGCGAAATCTGAGGGCACGCGGCCGTGAGTCGCTAAACGTGAAAGGGTTGACAAAGGTATTTCATGCGTTGCCAAATTGCCAAAACAAGAGGTGGTGTTTCCAGACATGGGTTGCGAGTTACGCTAAAGACTGCTTTTCTCGCACACCTTTATTCCAAAACTGCGAGGAAAAGATGAGCTCGCACACACTCAGAGAACAATAAAGAGAAAGAGAAACGTTCTGCCTAAGCGGTCAACCTTTCCACAAAATAAACTGCACTCATTTAATGCACATTTTGAATCAACAAACTCATCCGAGACCCTCAAGGGTGGCCAGCAATTTATGTGCCCAGAGCTCTACGACGTACGCCTATGGCGATGTCTACGTATCATTACAATTCTAAGACCAACACAGAATGAGTCCATGCAGTGTTCATAGAGATACATAAGTCGGATGGCTTGTGTTTCGTAGTGTCAAACGTCCAGAGAAGTGACGTCACTTCGGTGCGCTGCCTAGACACCAAAGCGAGTGCCCCACGGGCTCTTTTTGATTACAAAATTATTTCATACATCGATATTGCTGCAATGTGTCGATTACTCAATGGAATTAAACCGAAAAGTTATATCTCTAACACATGGTGCAAAGATATGGCTGGGCCACTCCGGCGCACCGATTTTTGCTCGTTCTTCGCAGCACCCGCTTGCGTCAGGAACCACGTGACCACAACACATACTTCATTTGAAAAACCAAATCAGACGCTGTCCGCCATGTTGAATGGAGAGCGAGAAGGGTTGAGAAACATTTTGAAAGTGGCATAAAGTGACAATTTTCAACGGCGACAACCAAAAATAACATGAAGACTTAAAGCGCTTCATATATCTGTTTCAATGTCTGATCTTTTGGTATCTAGCTGCTTTGAAAATTCCTGCCAATATTGTGACGCAAACTGGTGCCTGAAGCACATTGACTGAAGTCGGATGCGCAATAGCTCGCCCATATCTTTCCACTATGTCTCTAAAATATAATAAGTATTTTCCAATTATCTGGAGATTGTACCATCCACGCACGAGCTGCCGCAGAACATTTACCGAGGCTCTCTGGTGTACAAATCAGTTTAGGGCCTGGCCTTTGGAAGTTGTCCAGTCCACACTTCCAGTGTGAAGTTATTTTCACTTTTAAAACAAATTTACGAAGTGTGAAGTGTTCGCAAAGGTCCAGATACTGTTAAATAAATGTTACTTGATGTAGTAGAATGTACAGTCTTTAAGCAATCTTGGAACTTATTTAAGTCAATATTTCCAGGGTTCTTATCCTGTTCTTCCTGGTTCTGGACAAGCTCAATTAAGAGTTTTTAATGGCCTTGGTTGTGAAGTTCAAGTAAACCTCGTGAGACCAGTAGACCCGTTGTCTCAGAAAATAGAACCCTATGGATCATGGCGGCTTCCCCATTTGAGTGCGAATGGGAAAGATATGGTCGCTATGCAATATGCAAATTGCGATAATGAAATAAAAGTTACAACAGTCACCGTAGAAGAAAAACAAGTAAGTTTCATTAAATTTTCATGAAATTAATTTATTGAACAATTTTACCTACTTGTAAATACATCTATGTCATACAATTAAATCATATTTTTATTTTAGATTTTATCGTACCTGACAACAGCAGATGGTCTAATAAAAGTATCATATGAAAAAAATGGTGACGTTGTTGAAAAGGAAAAAGAAGTCTCTAGAATTAGGTAAGTCTTTTGTTGTATTAATTTAAATTATTGGAATAAAGTAATTTAGAAAAAGCTTATAACAAGAATGCCTGTAACAAAAATTGGAACTTCAGCTTCTTAGTCAAAAACCCCCATCACAATCTGATTTTCGTCTAGTTTCTCAGATCCAGAAAATACTGATCTAGCCCCTTGTTTTGCTTTTGGACATATCACGTAGAACACTACGAAGAATAGCAGATTTGCTGTAGCCAATTTGCGTACACAAATAGCTTTTTTTGTATACCAGCATTATAAAAGAACCTTTTCTGTTGCAAGAAATTGTTCATAATCGAGCATTTTACGGCAAAATAATGACGTATTAGATTTTATGTCACAAATGATTGCGTCATCACTCATTCGGCCAATCGTAGCGAGAGAATCGGGGGAGGTAGAGTTAAACGGAACAGCCGACCACCGTTTACTCGCACGATGTCAAATACCCGAGTCGTCACAGGGAAGTTGTTTCGCAAAATTAAGTTTGATTTTCTTATAAATGTATAATGCTGTTATACAAAAACATATAGTATGCAACTCGTTTATAATGTTGCTTTATTACATTCGTACAAATTTGCAAACTCGCTTCTAAAGTCGCTCGTTTTCAAAACATGTACTCATGCGATAAAGCTTAACATTATAAGCTAATTGCATAAACTAATATTATTACACTCTAGCGAATATTTTAATATCAATTCTTGCTAAAAACACTTTTTGCCATGTATTCATAATTTAACTTAGATTTAGATTTAATCAGTCAAAAAACAGTAAAACTGTATGTGACGTAGGTGGGAAAATATTATCTGCACAAGTTTCCTTGAGTTCCATAATCCCTTCCCGTCATTTTAACTATAAATAGTTGAAAGATGAGTAAAAGTTTAACATAAATAAATTTAAAAAAATCAATTTAAAAATTGCAAGATTAGCAATATTTGAAAAATAGAAATATAATAAAAAACTTATTATGTTTATGAGCTTGGACAGAGTTCAGGAACCGTGCACAGGGTTTACTTATCTGCGTAGTTCTTGAAACACCGATTTAATAATGGTTTTGACGTTAAATGAATAAAAGTAAAATTTTCAAACATATTTTTTTGTAAAGTAGATTAGAAATTAATCGGTACGAAAACTTATTTCGATTGCAAGGAGATGATTAATTGTGCGCAAGACGCTTAAGGAGAAAGGATTAAAATACTTGTAGCTATTACAAGACTGCGAATATCTCATTCAATTCGTCAGAATTACATGCTCTCGGGAAAATGTGTTCAATATTTCAAGCTCTCGAGGACTCTTATATAGTTTATGAATGTATCACTTAGTCTTAGTCGAAAAAACTGTTACACGCAAACAAGATAATACAATTGGTCAGTACGTAGTTCGCTTCCTCGTTGCTTGATAAGGCTGCTTCCTTTCTTCTTTATTCAATTATTTAGTGTTTCAATGTATGTTAATTCGAAAGGCGGACGGACGCAAAGGCGGACGGACGGACGCAAAGGCGGACGGACGGACGCAAAGGCGGACGGACGGACGCAAAGACGGACGGACGGACGGACGCAAAGACGGACGGACGGACGGACGCAAAGACGGACGGACGGACGGACGGACGCAAAGACGGACGGACGGACGCACGCAAAGACGGACGGACGCAAAGACGGACGGACGGACGGACGCATAGGCGGACGGAAGCAAAAGTTCAGCCGCTGTCTGGTCTCCCGACATGTGTAGAAATGCAGTACATGAATATGTGTGTAAGTAGGGGTGACGATAGGGTAAGGATGAGGAAGGAAAGAATGCGCACGGCTCTTAACCCGTTTGTTATGATAGTGCTCCGTCATTCGCCTTGGGTTGATAAAAAGAACACGGAAAATTACCAATCAAAGCAACTGGCCTGTAGAATTCTCCTCCAGACAGCTACTGAACTCGACCTAGCTATTTAGCTAGAGTCGAAAATTCCACCGTAGAGACTCGAAACTAGGACCTCCCGGCCAGATGCAACGCAGTGACGTCAGTTGAGGACCTGAGACACCTCTCTCTCTCATTTTGTTCGGTTTTGCTCAGGAAAGGAAAAACATTGCTGTTTTTAATTCCACATTTTACTGTCCATTGTTGTTGAACGTATAATTTCTAGAGAACTCGGTTATTTACGAGAGCCGATTAGTTCTTTATTTTTATTTCTTACTATTTTTTTTGTAATTATGAATTATCAAGAAGTGCGAAGGAAAAGGCAGCGAAGTGGAGCCCCGATGTTTGCTAATTAGCATGATAATAATCTAGGAAATAATTTTAATACGCGAAATGTTTCATTTAATATTAATATATAACAAAATATAGCATATTTATCGTTCCAAAAATGTTATTGTGGCTATATTTGAAAGTAATATTTGTATATGTGTATGTGATTATGTATGTGTACGATTGTACTAATTATGATTTTTTTATGCAGTGTAGGGGAAAATCTTTATTAGACACTGGGTACTTCAAATAGCGTACCCACTTTGAACTTTTTCCATTTTCCTCCAATCTCCGTTAGACATCACATCACTGCGAGTGGATAGGAATGGTTCAGTTACATGTTTTCCACAAACGTGGTAATCGTCCAGGAGCATAAAGAGATCTTCTTTGTCCTTCTCTATCCCTCGCTCCATCAGTACTGACAGCACAAAAACATGCGCTTCATCTGGTTGAGGAGGAAAGCATTCTTGCGACTTCAGTTTCTGGAGTGGGCCGGTCAGTCCCGAACATCTAAATCACTATCTGAGGGTGAAAACGTAGTTACAGAACGTACTCCAACTGATACAGTGCTCCAACGTTATCGCATCGGAAAACAATTTCCAAACTTTGATTTTCTTTCTATTTGAATTTGGCGCCAAAATTGATTTACAAAAATACCTACAAATTCAACTATTTCCTCAATCTCTGGACTTTTTTTCAGCCTGACACACCCAATAGAAGCTGAAAAAAATAAAACGTGAGAAACACGTTTCTCATTGTATCTCTGCAACAGATTGCCGAAGGAGGCTGTTTTTGGAGAATCTACGGCTTTTTTACTCTCTTTTATGTCATTATCACAATTATCAATTTTGTTTGGGGGCAATTTCACGTCCTTATCAGGCTATTTCCTTTCAATATTAATGTGTTAAAAAATTAAAATCTGTTACTTGAACGGCAAAAAATGAACACAATATGCAACATTTTTCATCTACCAACTAAGTTGAATGTTGATAATATTCAATTCAGTTAATCCGCGTCGTTAGCTGCGAAAGGCTACCAGTTTTCCGTTTCTTGGCTTGTAGACTTCTTTGTACCGAATATTAACTAGAAGTTCTAATAAGAGACCTTAAAATAAGCGAGGTATACGAGTACTTGACTCAATACGCCAACCGATCTTACGCAAATAAGGGATAAATACATTTATAAATATTCACATCTGCATTTATTTAATATAATGTAATTATCATTTACGCGAGTCACCAAGTCTACTTCGTTACTGGAAGGGACAACCGGGCTGCTCAAGCAAACGGCTCATTTGCCACGCTCTGGACGGCGCGTGCACAACCGCTGCTTCGTGGGCATTCAAGAGCACTCGAGAGCCGGACGTCTACCCGCGAGAGCGGCGATAGTGCAAGTAGCGTATAGGCAGCGGGAAGGGGGGCAGCCTATCATTACACAGAGGGGACGACGCAGCATGTAGATTGAATGCTTAGGTATCCAATACCTCCCTTTATTTTACCTATCGAATTCCTTTAAAATCTGTTTTGTGACAAAAATATTCCGAGTTACATAAGCAATCTCTCGCATTCAACAATCAATACAGCTCACATCGCAATCAATAGAGCAATCTCTCACATCAAGATTGACATAAAAATTAAACATAAATTCCAAGGAGGGTAATGTTTAGCAGTACATATATTTGGGACCATCTTTTCCCGATTATAAATCGGAATAAGAGATTCCAACGAGCACAATTTTCTGACGATATGTTACGGGCAATCATGAGATTATTATATTGGAATCCAAGGGGCTTAATTTTTTATACGATGTCGTGAACGACTACGGATAAAGTGTGTTCGTTGATTTACCACAAGAAATATTTAATGTACTCTTGTCAGAAATACGAGCAGAGAGTAATGATAAATTTTTAATAATATTTTGTTTACCTTTGATGGAACTGTCTTATTCAATTAAACATACTTTATGAAAAATAATTTATCACTGTCGTAGCAAACCTATTCAGAACTATTATTTTGTGTTAAGCAGCAAACTAAATTTTTTATTGCATTGTAGCAAGAATTACATTATCAGCCCTACGCAGAATTACATCGGGTAACATTATCAGACATACAAACTATTATAATTCTAGATGTCCAAATAAAATATGTGAGTCTAATTCGTTTTTAGTACATGTTCCACAATGTCATCTATCAACAACAATAATTTCCAATATAATACAAAGGGCAATATTACTTGAGCAGAATGTAACCGTCCGTCGTGTTCTCGCCATTGCTCTTTCAATTTACGCACTAAGGTTCGAACTGAACAATTTTCAATGGTGGTCCCACTCCAGGAATGTGTCTCAGCCCCACCCTTCCTTATCCTTCCGCATTCGCCCCCGCGCGGCTCCCGAGGTCAGTGAAAATGCAACATTCTGTGCAGGCCTGCTCTCGACCAACGCTTATCTGCTGGACACCGGTGTGGCCCGCTGCTTGATGAGTCAACTGAACAGGACGAGTGGGGAGGGTAGGCCCTGTAGAGGCAGTTGTGAGTTGTGGCGATCCAAATTATATTTCT